GATATAGCGCTTTTCATGTCGGGAGGACGTCCCAAAGCGCTTCACAGAACACTGTAAAGTGAATTGACTGTATATTTGTGGGCGAACACGGCAGCCAATTGCGCACAGCAATGTCCCACAAACAGTCGTAGATTGAAAATGACCAATTTATTATTGTTTTGGGTTTTTGGAGGGATTATTATTAGGGCTCTGTGTGGAGTAAGGAAACTTGCCCAAGGTTTCGCCCTGCCTGGAATTGAACTCAGGTCTCTCACTTGCAAAGCGAGTGCTCTAACCACTGAGCTACAGGACTCCCCGATTAACTTCAAGATCCTCACACTCGTGTTCAAATCCATTAACTTCCTGGCACCTCCCTACACGTCCGACCTCCTCACTCCCCAATCCACCACTCGGCGCTTCCGCTCGACTGGCACTGACCTCCTTCTTGTCCCTCGCACCCTCCGCTCTACCATTGGAGGACGCGCTTTCAGCCACTATGCCCTGAAGCTCTGGAACACTCACTCAATCCCTCCACCTTGCTCCATCTCTCCCCTTTTTCAAGTTCCGCCTGAAAACCTTTTTGGGCATGGATTTGGTCACCATCCCATCCACCCCCCAGCTCAGAATCAGGCTCCGCCACTGCTAAGCACTCTGAGACGCTGCCCTGCATGGAGAGCGCTGTATAAGTGCAAGTTGTTGTTGCTATTGTTGTTTTGTAACTATATCAGAACTCAAGGGCGCTATATAAGTGCAACTTGTTGTAGCACCTCATCATGTTGTTGAGACATCTCAAAGTGATTCATAGGATACACTGTAAAGTGGATTGCCTGTGTATTCAGTTAGTGAAACCATGTTATCATCATCAATGCCTTAGAGTAGTGTAAACTTGTCTGGGTCAGGAACTGGACAACTGAGACTGCCACAGAGAGGAGGGTCCGAGGGCCAAGAGAGGAGATTCACTTACCTGTCCCACCCATAGTAAACAGGTCATTTGACACCTGATAAGTGCACCTCACTAGGTGGCGAGCAGGAACTAAGAATTCCCTCAGCTTTTTGATGAGCACGATCAGCATATGTCAGTGTTGCATCCATTGTCCTGGCCAATGCTCAGATGTACATCCCTACCTATTGAGTGATGGTTCCACCAGTGAGAAGTGTGGAGCTTGAGCAGTAACTGCTTACTTCTCTGCATACCAGTCAAGATGGATACCAAGCACATGTGTGTCTGAAAACTTGGACACCAGGTAATGCCATCTAACAGCTAATGACGCAAGCCTTAAGGTTTTTTTTAACAGCTATTTGGTGGACATTTGCCTTTAGCATGGTGGGAGGACTTGTATAGGATAGTCTGTGATGTGCCAATCACCTTGATATTCTAGAGGTCTAATGCTGCTTATGAGGCTTACTCAACACCAACTGATTAATCCAGGTCATCACGAGGGGCTTTAGTAAATAGGCTTGTTCACCATGAAACTAATCCCACATCCAGGGTGTTCAGAAACAGGTCAGTGTAGGCCTTGGCCTTCCTTCCCTGCAGCTACAAATCCAACTCACTGATTGGTCCTGGACTTCGCAAATGAACTGAAGGAAATCCATCTGCTGCATATCCAGTAGCTCAGAGCTATACAGAGGAACTCTTTGGACTCATGTCATATATGCCACTATCTTAACCTGCATTGGGACCTTGCTGTCATTTACTGAGATTAAACAACAGCTAACTTTGGATATTAGCAAGGGTTCTTGAGGCCAGGACACTGAACTAATTTAAGAAACAACCTGGTGCTGAAATGGGAAGATGGTAGCGTTGATATTCTGGAAAGATGAGATCAAATGGGTCGAGAGGGCTTAATTTCTCTGAAACACCCTTGTGTTATCAATTACAAGATGCATCCTACTTGCAATATGGCGCACAGATAAAGAAACAACAACAACTTGCATTTATATAGCACCCGTCTTGCAGGGTAGAGTCCCATAGCGCTTGAAACCAAATGTCCCATACTACTGTACTGTGATGAAAATAATGGAGCCAGTTTCCGATGTCAGTCGATTTAATAAGATCACAGGATAATGTGCTGGAATCAAATATTATTGTCAATAGAGTGAAAGGTTTAGAAACACTTCAGCAGGAAAGGATTTACTAAATCAGATGGTACAAATGTAAACTTCTTTAAACAGGGGTTTTCGGGTCTCGCCAGTCTCCCCAGCTCCACCATTCACAAGATCCAGTTCATTCAAAATTCTGCTGCCCGCATACTAAGACCGAACCAAACTCCTTACCCACATCTCACCAGTTCTGGCCAGGCTCCACTGGCTCCGCATTACCAAATGGATAGACTTCAAGATCCTCACTCTTGTGTTCAAATTTATTCACTCCCTGGCACCTCCCTACCTCTCTGACCTCCTCATTCCCCAATCCACCACCCGGTGCCTCTGTTTGACTGGCACTGACCTGCTGCTTGTCCCTCGCACCCTCCGCTCTACCATGGAGGTCGAACTTTCAGCCACTACGCCCTGAAACTCTGGAACACTCTCCCTCAATCCTTCCGCCTTGCCCCCTCTCTCCCCTTTTTCAAGTCCCGCATGAAAACCTTCCTTTTCGGCCATGCTTATGGTCACTTCCCCACCCGCCCCAGCTCGGAATTAGACGCTGCCCTGCATGGAGGGCGCTATATAAGTGCAAATTGTTGTTGCTGTTGTTATTTTGTAACTATATCAGAGCTCAAGAATTCTACTCAACATAATATTCCCAACTATCTTGACTTTCTCATGACAACACGTTTTTTAGACTTAAAAAAAGTTTTCATATGTTTTTATATTTGATCTCCCACCGCACCCCCACCACCTCCATTTTTACCTTTACCCTACCTTCATGCTGGCTGCAGTAATTTCCCCAGCTAGTTGTGTTTTAACCTTAGGGGTCATTATAACCAACCCTGATCTTGGACTCACTTGACAACCAGACAGAAACATACTTTATAGCAGGGATCTCTCAATAAGTATCAGATACAGGAACCCAGACTCATTTTCTCTTCCCCGTAACCTCTACCCCCATATTGGTGGAGATTGGGAAACTCAGTACATACAACATATTAAACAGGGGATGTCTGGGTCTGTGAGCTTAGTTTCACTCCAACCCTCATTTATTGAAATATAGAGGGAGCTGAACACATTTTAGTTTAAAATATGCAACATGCCTGTGTTGTGCTGACCACATAAAGAGCCATCTGCACCAATTCCATCCTACACTAATACTCTATGACAGTACATATAGGGGACGCAACTGGATCCAGGGGACGCAGTATATATTGTATTAATTATTCAAATGTTCACCTAATTCCCTCTTAAATGACATCATGTACCCAGCTTCAATTCACCTGTGGTACGACTTTGTACATCCTAACATCCATTTGTGTAAAAAAACATTCTTCTAACCTCTCCCTCTAAGCTTGTAGAGATA